GTCTTCGCGTCGAAGAGCTCCACGCGCCGGTCCCACCGCGCCGCGGCCACCAGGCGGAGGTCCGGGCGCACGGCGAGCGCCTGCGGCGCGGCCCCCACGAGCGACCCCTCGTGATGACGCGCTCCCATCGTCATCACCATCACCATCACCATCACCATCATCATCACCATCACCACCATCATCATCATCAGCAGCAGCATCATTATCATCGTAATCAGCATCGTCATCATCATCAGAATCAGCATCAACATCGTAATCATCATCATCACCACCACCACCATCTTCATCCTCATCCTCAACATCATCATCATCATCAGCAGCATCACCACCATCATCATCATCATCACCCACCTCATGATCAACAACAGTTTCACCATCGCCGTCACCATCACCATCACCGTAATCACCGCCGCCACCACAATCATCAGAATCAACATCAACACCAACTGGATAACCATCTCTATCACAATCTCCCTCACCGTCACCGTCATCATCATCACCACCACCACCACTACCACCACCATCGCCACCATCATCACCATCATCATGACCCTCATCCTCATCCTCATCCTCATCCTCATCTTCATCCTCATCCTCATCCTCATCCTCATCCTCATCCTCAACATCAGCATCAGCATCAGCATCAGCATCAGCATCAGCATCAGCATCAGCATCAGCATCAGCATCAGCATCAGCATCAGCATCAGCATCAGCATCAGCATCAGCATCATCACCATCACCATCACCATCATCATCATCATCATCATCATCATCATCATCATCATCATCATCATCCATCATCATCATCATCGTCATCATCATCCTCATCCTCATCCTCATCCTCATCCTCATCCTCATCCTCTCCTCATCCTCATCATCATCATCATCATCATCATCATCATCATCATCATCATCATCATCATCATCATCATCATCATCATCATCATCATCATCCACCATCATCATCATCATCATCATCCGCCTCATCATCGCCTGCGCCCCTGCTTTTCGTGTTACCTCTACGAGCGACGACGACGACATCGATCGGCATAAGACACTGCTGTGGCACCATCACACGCTTGTGAAAGTCGGCGCGGATGTCTTGGATCTGTAGAGTCCCGAAACGCTGCGGTGACAGACCGTGCGGTGACCTCGAAATCCCCCAAGATCTCACCTCACCCTTCCTCAACGCACCGTTTTGGGACCTCGGATGCCTCAATCGCCAGAGAAGCCCTCGGAGAACGACCCGAGTGCCAGAGCCGTGCGGGGACCCCAAATCCCCACCGACGCACCACACGGTGTTTTTCACTACCCCGTTTGGGGGCCCCCGAGGATCGGCGCCAGGATTTCCTCCGCGGCGCATGGTTTGCGCCCAGGGCGGCACCGGAGCGCCCCTGGGGTTATATCAGGACTGTCCCCCTACAAGGGGATGTTCGATGAAAAATAAATTATCCCGGCAGAGCAACCTAACAGCGATGTGTAGGAGCATATCTGGAAGCATTCCCCTGAAGATTCATATGAGAATCCAGTTGAAGAATTCCGCTGTTCTCGCAGTCGTAGTCGCATTCGCGAAGACAGTCGAAGTGGCAACGGCAGTCGCAGTCACAGCCTCAGCCTCAGCCTGCCTCAGCCTCAGCCTCAGCCTCAGCCAGCCTCAGCCTCAGCCTGCCTCAGCTTCAGCCTCAGCCTGCTTCAGCCTCAGCATCAGTCTGCCTTCAGCCTCGGCCTCAGCCTCAGCCTGCCTCAGCCTCACCCTGCATCAGCCTCAGCCTCAGCCTCAGCCTGCCTCAGCATCAGCCTGCCTCAGCCTCAGCCTCAGCTTGCCTCTGCCTCAGCCTCAGCCTGCTTCAGCCTCAGCCTCAGCCTGCCGTCGGCCTCGGTCTCAGCCTCAGCCTGCCTCAGCCTCAGCCTGCATCAGCCTCAGCCTCAGCCTCAGCCTCAGCCTCAGCCTGCCTCAGCCTCAGCCTCAGCCTCAGCCTCAGCCTGCATCAGCCTCGGCCTCAGCCTCAGCCTGCTTCAGCCTCAGCCTCAGTCTGCCTGCAGCCTCGGCCTCAGCCTCAGCCTGCCTCAGCCTCAGCCTGCCTCAGCCTCAGCCGCAGCCTCAGCCTTTGCCTTCAGCCTCGCCTCAGCCTCAGCCTGCCTCAGCCTCAGCCTGCATCAGCCTCAACCTCAGCCTCAGCCTCAGCCTGCCTCAGCATCAGCCTCCTCAGCCTCAGCCTCAGCCTCAGCCTGCCTCAGCCTCAGCCTCAGCCTGCTTCAGCCTCAGCCTCAGTCTGCCTTCAGCCTCGGCCTCAGCCTCAGCCTGCCTCAGCCTCAGCCTGCATCAGCCTCAGCCTCAGCCTCAGCCTGCCTCAGCATCAGCCTGCCTCAGCCTCAGCCTCAGCCTGCCTCAGCCTCAGCCTCAGCCTGCTTCAGCCTCAGCCTCAGTCTGCCTTCAGCCTCGGCCTCAGCCTCAGCCTGCCTCAGCCTCAGCCTGCATCAGCCTCAGCCTCAGCCTCAGCCTGCCTCAGCATCAGCCTGCCTCAGCCTCAGCCTCAGCCTGCCTCAGCCTCAGCCTCAGCTCTGCTTCAGCCTCAGCCTCAGTCTGCCTTCAGCCTCGGCCTCAGCCTCAGCCTGCCTCAGCCTCAGCCTGCATCAGCCTCAGCCTCAGCCTCAGCCTGCCTCAGCATCAGCCTGCCTCAGCCTCAGCCTCAGCCTGCCTCAGCCTCAGCCTCAGCCTGCTTCAGCCTCAGCCTCAGTCTGCCTTCAGCCTCGGCCTCAGCCTCAGCCTGCCTCAGCCTCAGCCTGCATCAGCCTCAGCCTCAGCCTCAGCCTGCCTCAGCACCAGCCTGCCTCAGCCTCAGCCTCAGCCTGCCTCAGCCTCAGCCTCAGCCTGCTTCAGCCTCAGCCTCAGTCTGCCTTCAGCCTCGGCCTCAGCCTCAGCCTGCCTCAGCCTCAGCCTGCCTCAGCCTCAGCCTCAGCCTGCCTCAGCATTCAAAATGTGGCCCGGGAATGGAGTTCTGGGAACTCGAAGAACACGAAGTGGCCTACAGTTGGCTCCGGGCATTCAAAATCATGCCCAGGAATTGAATTCTGGGAACTCGAAGACCACGAAGTGGCCTACAGTTTGCTCCGGGCATTCAATATCATGCCCAAGAATGGAGTTCTGGGAACTCGAAGACCACGAAGTGGCCTACAGTTGGCTCCAGGCACTCAAAATCATGCCCAGAATCGGAGTTCTGGGAACTCGAAGAACACGAAGTGGCCTACAGTTGGCTCTGGGCATTAAAAATCATGCCCAGGAGTGGAGTTCTGGGAACTCGAAGACCACGAAGTGCGTTACTGTTGGCTAAAAAAAGAGTCCCCGGCATACTCCCCCGGATCGCGCCCAGACCCCCCTGGGGCGTCAAGATGCTCTCTTTTGACCCTACTAGAAACCTATCAGTCTTCGCTGTTAGGTAAAAATACCCCAAACATACCCCAAAAGGGTCAGAAGAAACCCAAAAAATAGTCCCCAGACTATCTTTGGATTTTTTTTTGAGTATGTTTGGGGTATTTTTAATTTTTCGTCGAAAATCCCCCTGTAGGGGGACAGGCCCTGTAGGGGGAGGGCCCCGCGCCGGGCCGGGAGGTCTGCGCGGAGCTCAGAAGAGCTGCTCCCTCGGACGATGGGGGCTTCGAGGGCCAACCCTCCCGCGGAGGCAGCGTCGCGCGCGGGCCAGAGGCTGCTGCCTGACATCTTGGCTCCCGCGCGTGCCGCTCGGGTTTTGCGAGTTTCCGGCGAGCAGAGGCGCATCGAGGCGGGCTCGAACGAGGGGAAGGAGACACCCAAATGAGAAGGCGAAAACCCACCCCCACCCCCAGTCCCGACGCCCAGCCCCGAGCCCGCGATCTGGGGGGTCGGGACTGGGGGTGAGGGTGGGTTTTCCTTATTCCTGGACCCCGGAAACCCACCCCCACCCCCAGTCCCGACCCCCCCGCGATCGAGGGTTCGGAAATGGGGTCGGGACTGGGGGTGGGGGTGGGTTTTCGCCTTCTCACCAAAGCATCGGTCCTGGAGCCTCGATGTTCTTGCGCGCTGCCTCCCCTTTTGGCTCCGTCTGGGTGGCTTCTCGGCGCCGAGGCTGCACTCCGCTCCAGAGGATGGTCAAGACGCACCCCTGGAGAGGTCCTGAGGAGGGCCTACTTGTCCGTTGCTTTGGCTATATGCATTATGTGCTCCATTTATCGCACGCCCCCGTTCTTCCCATCGGCATCACCATAGCGGCAACTGCTTCGTCGCGCCGTCTTCCGCCAGCACCACAACGGCACATCCTGGATCGTCTCACACCGTTCCTTCGCGCCCCGTCATGGTCATCACCGCGCCAGTGTCGTCACCACCACCCACCCCCACCGCAATCTGCCTCCACCGCAATCGGCGCTTGGCTCGGCGACGGGGGTCCCTGGCAGATCCAGCGTCGTGCGTGAAGAGCCATACTTGCGCAACTAGTGAGTACAACCTCGCGGTGTGACTCCCTCCGACGCGGGTGCTGATGATTCGTGCGCCCAGAGCTCCCCCCAGTCGTCCAAGGCTCTCGCCATACTCATCGTTGGGATCCTGGCGATGGGTAGCGGGAACAGGAGCCAGCGAAGCAGAAATCACGTTAGCATGACCATGCGCGCATAAGCCTATGCCGCTGCCGTAGTTGGCGTGCCACTTGTAGGAACAGTCGTAGTAGTTGGAGTCGTAATACTATTAGCGAGCGCACGTTCATCACAAGTAGCGCGAGACATGCTAGCACAAATAGTGGTCGCCGTCATGGTGCTTGCATTCATCATGCTCGTGTCTCTTCTCCTGGCACCGAGGGGGAGTGATGCTCGAAGGCGGAGGCGGAGGGGCGAACGAGGAGCATGCAGACAAAGAAAAGAAGGCGGGGATCAAGGATGACGAAGACGAGGGGCAGGAGGGCAAGAGGGACGAATGCCTCCGAGCCGGGAAAGGAGGCGTGAGTCCGATCAGGGTAAGCGCTGCGAGGCGCAGTCAGGGAAGGGGGACAAGGAGGGGGAGCATGAGCATTGGACGACGGCGACGCCGGCGACGACAGGGAGGGCCGCGCCCGTTCTGGTTGTTTGGCGGCCTGCCGCGCCAGAGTCGAGCCCCGCGCAGCCGTTCGCTGCACGGCCTCCCGCCTCAAATTCCGTCTCCCTCTGGGAGGAGGAAGGGACATGAGATGAAGAGAGCTCAGTCGGACTTGATTGGGCAGGACGCGCGAGAGGACAAGAGACCCTTCCGAGGGCCACGTTGCCATAGGAATGTAGGAGGCATGGGTCGCGAGACACAGGGCGCGAGGGCACCCTTAAGTTGAAGGGTCGACCTACTAATCAGGGCCGACTGTAGGATGGAAGACCGGCGCACTGCGCAAGGAAACTGGCAGCGAGCCAGGCCGCGGCGTTGCCTACGAAATGGACTTGGGCCATCGTGGCCCCGTCCGGTGCTGGCGCGGTCACCTTCTATGATGGGCCTGTTTTCAACCACCACCATAAGTTGGAGGGGGAGGGGGTCCTCCTCCTCCTCCTCCTCCTCATCCTCCTCCTTCTCCTCCTCTTCCTCCTCCTCCTTCTCGTCCCCCACGTCCTTCCCCCCTCCAACTGATGGTGATGGTGGAAAACAGGCCCATCATTCTAGGCAAGATTTTGCTCTGCAAGGCCACAACCAATGACCAGGACATCGCATTCCGCACCCTACAAAGCGGAGGCACAGGGAGAGAATGAGGGGGGGGGAATGAGGAGGAGCAGGTGGAGGACGCTGGTGCGAAGGGGGACCAGGAGGAACAAGTGGAAGAGTGGGAACACAACTCTGCTGAGGAGGAAGAAGACGAGAAGTATCAGGACGAGGAAGACGAGGAAGAGGACGAAGACGAATGGGCGGATGATCAGGAAGTGTAGCAACAGCAAATGGAGCAGGCGGAAAACAACGGTATCGAATATCGACCTCCCGAAAATGCAACACAAGACTGTGACAGGTTAAAATCGTGACCATTCTCGTGGTGAGCCTGCCTTCTCCTCTTCCCTCATCCTCTTCTTCGTCCGTGTCTTTCCAGGTTTGCCTTTGGCGACGCGCTTGGGGAGGCGTTTCGCCTCGCGGCGCCTGGTCCAGACCCACGCCGCCCTAGCTTTCAGGAGGGCCCCCCTCCCACTCCCCCTCCCTTTCCCGTCAACCCGTAAAGCAAAGCATAGCTGGAATGCAGTATCATGCTGCGGGTGTGATACCAAAAAAAAAACAGCAGGCAACAAGAGTCCCACCATGAGTACAAAAGCAAACTCTCATGTACTACTATGCTTCAATCACATGGGAAAGGACATTTCCGAACACAAGCGAACATAGCATAACATACCAAGGTATGTACAACGTAACCATGGACGAACACTGCTGCGTAGCATACGACAGAAGGGACTTGACAACCAATTAGCATAGCAAAACCGACTGCGTATAACATCGTGGAATGGTAGCTGGCATAACATCGCATGTGTTCAGCACCCTGAATAGAACATAATGAACACCAACCACCAATTAATGGCGTCTTAACACAAACGCCGTGCGCGACGAGGTCAAAGTGACAACAGGAGCAACGAAACGCAGCAACGACCGATTGAACGGTGTAGCAGAAGTTCTTTTCGACCGTGCTCTGCTGTCATCATATATGGTTCTGCTCAATCCGACTCGGATCGGGATAAAGTACAATGCAACAGCGACCAAACACGTCGAAGGGTTCGATGGGGATCGCCCGAAGGATGATAACTGATGGCCCCGGGGCCCGGCGAAGGTCCCCACCATCAGAAACGCATGAAACACCTTGTCTTCATTCTGTTCTATACGGTGGAGGTCTGGGGATGCCCTGCGCACGGGAAAATCCTGCCTCTCAAGGGCACGGCGCAGCGAGAGGAGGGGTCGGGGCGGCTCAGCCGCGCGCGACCGCCCGAACCTCAGGGCCGGCCCGAGGTGGCCCGGCTGACGCCACCTTGCGGTGGAATGGGGAGGGGAGAGGAGGAGAGGTGGGGAAGGAGAGGGAGAGGGAGGGGGGGGGAGGAGGGAGGCAGAGGGAAAAGAAGAGGAAGGAGGAGGATCTGCATGGATAAATCCCGCCACGACAGTCTGTTCCTGGGGGGCAGCGCCGAGGGCGACGAGGGAACGAAGGAGAAGAGAGAGGAAGACGAGGCCGAGGGGGTCGCAACGACCACCCCAAAGTGCAGAAACGACACCGCGGGAGGACAGGAAACAAGAAAGTAGGCGACAGAGCGGCCTGACAAGACGGCACGAGACACAACGACAAGAGGAAGGGCGGGGCCGCGGCCTCTGAAGGCCACTCATCATCGTGCAAATTACCATGCACCGCATTATCATCATCAGGACCCGCGTCACGAAGCGCACAACCTGGAACCACAGCGTGGACAGCATCAAGGAGACCATGTACAGCATGAGTCAGCGCACCCAAGCCACTAGGATTACCCCTTCAGCTCTCGCCCCGTGCAAGCGGCGCCACTCCGCACGGTAGCACACGAAGTCCGTCCCCGCCGTGGCCTCTGCCATGTTCATCAGCAGCCGCAGGCAGCTGGAGAAAATCGTGACCACCATGCACTCCACCAAGCTCGTGCATCAGGATGTTCGTCACCGCGTCGGCGCTACTCTCGCGCGTGCGAGCAGGGAAAACAACTCAGGGTCCACACGAAGATCAGGAACGGCACGAAGATCAGAGACCGCCTGCGGATCGGCCAGACTATAACCACCACGGCCGGACCCCTCGCACAAAGAACGGTCGAAACTACGTCTGCGCCGAGCTCTCGCAGAAGACCGGCTGGGCACCGTCGTGCCCAGCCGGTGCTAGCTCCCAGGTGCTCGATCATATCACTCGGGCCCCTTTCCTCCATATCGATGAGCGAGCGGAAAAGCAAGACCAGCACCATAACCAAACTCTCGTAGAACACTGCAGTTTCGGCAGAGGCCCATCCGCATTCCATGAGAACTCGGGAAACAGAGGACCACTGGATGCAAGACCTTCTCTGAGCGCCTGCACCAGTGGATTCTCACAACGACCAGCGTCTCCTTGGTGGTTTCCGCTCCGCCGTCACCCGCGTCGGGGTCAGGACGCTCACGTGCGCCACCGGGGGGGCCACCACCAGTGCCAGGACGATCCCCAGCGCCAGGGGGGCGACCGCCTCCAGGAACAGTACCAAAACGAATAGATACATGAGCTTCACCCTGGCTGTTCCTGTGGCCGAGATGTTTTTTTTGTCCGCGCTCCCACGCAGCCGAGGCAACAGAGCGAAGCGCACGTGCCCGTGGCAAGTGTTGCACCAGCTTAGGAGGAGGAGGAGGAGGAGGAGGAGGAGGAGGAGGAGGACAGGAGGAGGAGGAGGAGGAGGCCGAAGTCCACCGCCACATGCTCAGGAAGAGATCTTAGCGGCATCGTGAACAGGCCAATCAGCATCCGATTTTTCATCCCCAGGTCCACTTTAGGAAGAAAAGCGGCCTGGGCGAACTGTCGATCAGGATGAGACGCAATCCTCGCTCTCGCTCGCCGTCCGCCACGGGGCTGCGCGAGAATTCAGTCCCGCCGAGCCGCAACCGCCATTGCCCGCTGCCGCGCGAGGAGGCGGAGGGGGAGAGCAGGCCCCAGCACGTGCAGCTGGGATGGCCCGCGACCCCATCGCGCGCCAGAGCCGAAGGGGCTAAGAAGAGCGAGGGGGGAGAGGAGGAGGAGAAGGATGAGGAGGATGGATGAATGGGACGTCGACAGAGAACAGTGAGGCCCTGGCGGCCGTCAGCACGCTGGCAACCGCCAAGGCCCCGGGTGCCAACTCGGATCGCGGGTGGGTGACCACTGCGCCGCCAAAGTGCGCGATGCCGCCCTCTGCGCGAGGCACGGGGGCCGTGGCGGCGAGGACCCCCCAGACCGAAGCCAAGACAGGCATCCGCCCCGACCGCCAGGCCTTGGTCCTCGGGGTAGAAGGAGGAGGAGGAGGAGGAGGAGGAGGAGGAGGAGGAAGAGGAGGAGGAGGACAAAAACTGGCAAAACCACGGCGGCCGCCCGCGGCCGCCCAGACCGCGCGGGGGGCGCGGGGGGCGCGGGCGGCACCGCCCCCGAGGCCCACGCCGAGGAGCGCCGCGCGAGCCAGAGTTCCGAGGGGGGCACCGCGGGCCACAGGGGGCCTCCTCGCCTCCCGCGCAGCGTCGGACCTGGCCCGCCTGGCCCTGGACGAGGGGCGGGCCTCTGGGCGAGCCTCTGGCTGCTCTAGGGGGCCACATTCGCACCCTGCCCCACCCTCCCCCTCAGAAATCGTGGGGGGTAGGGGTAGGGTTCGCGTGTGGTCTCCTATGCTCGGAACTGCTCGAGTTCGGACAGCGCGCGCGCTGGAACTCCTCCAGGTCGACGGCCCTCTCGTCGAGGCACGCGGGCTAGAAGGACTGGCGCTGGAGGACCAACGGCCGCCGTGTCCTCCCGCACACCTCCGCTCGTCGCACGGGCTGGAGAGGTCGACGCTGCGCTCCGCCGCGACGGGGGCGCCGCCGCTGCCGAGGGAGACCTGCATGCCCGCCTCGGCCGCCGCCAGAGGGCGATCAGCATCAGGAAGCGCGCCATCGCTGAGCTCGCGCGACGACTGGCCGGTGGGCGCTGGGCGTCGGGCGCCATCGCCCGCATCAGCTCACTCGCAGGCGGGCTGGAAGACGAGTTGACGGTGCCCTCCAGCTCCTGCAGGAGGCCCCCGACCTGCACACCCAGGACCACGGGGGCAGGGTCGGGAGGGCGGGCGTCGGGGGAGGCAGCGGCGCCGCCTTCCCACCTGGGCGCCGAAGGGGGGCGTCAGACGAGGCGTCGCCAGCCTCGCTGCGCGCATCGGCGCTCCACCTCCACCAGTGCGCTCCCGATGCCAGGGGCGGGATCTTCGGCGCGGGGGCACGTCTCACGCGCTTGGCCAGCGCGAAAACGGCGCCAGGCGGTGCGCTGCGTCCGCGGCGGGCCTGGGCGATGGCCCACTCGCTCGGGGCCGCCTCACGGGCGGCGCGCACCGCAGGCAGGCGGCGCGGCGGCTCCTCCGAGGAGCACGACGCGCGCCCGAGCGCTGCCGCACCGGAAGACCAGCACCAACATGGCGTAGGAGAGGAAGAGCAACGCGATGGCGAACACCAGGACCGCGACTTCCGTGCTCACGCCGAAGGCGCTGTGCCGACGCGCGCTGCAGGCGATTCAGCGCGCGCTGCGAAAGCCTGCGCACCTCCGCCGCCGAGACCGTCGGGTGGTGGCAGACCACGTTCCGACGCCCGACGCCCAGGGTGGCCGCATGCTTGTTGAAGAGGTCCGCAGCCAGGACGGGCGCGACCAGCGCCAGCCTCGCGACGACCTCGGGGACGTCCGCGCGCAGCAGCGGGCCCCGCTTGCCGCCCATGACGCCAGAGCCCCCGGGGGAGGCCACAGCGCCGTCAACCTCCCGGGCAGCAGCATGCGCGGCCGCCGCGACCATGGCCTGGCTGCCGACCAGCGCGTGGTCCAGGTCCGCCTGGAGGCGCGCGCTCTGGGCCTCGAAGGCGGCCACTCGGGCCTGGCGCCGCCCGGCGCCGGCAGCGCGGGCCTGCCTGGCGCGCCGCACGGGCCAGGCCGAGCCGCCGACGGGCAGCTCCGCCGCCGCGTGCCGCGGCTGCTCCGCTGCCAGAGGGGCAGCCGCGCAGCCAGCCGCAGCCACTGCCAGAGGCCGCGAGGACGAGGGGGAAAGAGACTGAGCCGCTCTCTGTGCCTGCCGAGACGACAGGGCTTTTAGAGGGAGAGACGCGCCCCGCACCGCCCGCCACGCGCCCAGGCGGGCATGAGCCAAGATGGCTACGGAGGAGTGAGGAGGAGGAGGAGGAGGAGGAGGAGGAGGCGGCGGAGGCGGAGGCGGAGGCGGAGGAGGAGGAGGAGGAGGAGGAGGAGGAGGCGGAGGAGGAGGGGGAGGGCATTCGTAACGCTTCTGAGCGGTGCAACGAGAGGGGCAAAAGATCATGACAGATGCACTGCGTCCCGCCGCCAAGGATTGCAACTTGAGGCTGAGAAGGGGCCTTCCCCACGAAACGTCTTCGAGGCTCATGGAAGCGAGACTCTCCTCTCTGTGTCGTCAAAGCCGCACTAAAGCATTACTTTTTTGGAGGGCGAGATCTCCTGGCACAAGCCTGCGGAGACAACACTGCCACAGACATGCCCACCGTTCCGGCTTTTCAATGAGACCCCTGCAAGCGGTGACGGGGCCGGGGGAGCAGCTTGCACAGCCTCCTCGCACTCCGGGGACACTTCAGCCACCCGCGAACGGACTTTGTACAGACTATGCCGATCTGGTCACGCATGATCATGCCGATCTGGTCACGCATGACCTGGATGGACTATGCCGATGCTGTTCACGCAATGCAGCAGTAGCAATCACCCCGTGTGGTCCGAGCGGTGCTTCCCTGAACCAACTATTCACTCCAAGATTGTCGGTCTGTAGTTTTACCACCAGCGACCAGTACATCCAAGAGAGGCGGGTTTCGACTTCCACCCAGGCTGACCCGAACTCGCACTCGCCAAAGTCGTACACGTCCGCCACCGTCAAGTAGGCATTGAGTGGAATGACCGCATGCCCTCTCGAGGTCCTCGAGTGAATGCAGCTTGAGGCCCATACAACGCAGATGTCCGGGATTCTTGTGCGGTCAAGGGCGCCCGTCTATCTTGGGTTGTGACCTGCCCGAGGCCTGTTGGAGCGTGCTCCCGCCCTCGCTCGGACGTTCATTCCCCGTGCATCTTTCGATGGAGGAGGCAGGAGGCAGGAGGGAGGAGGCAAGAGGCAGGAGGGAGGAGGGAGGAGGGAGTAGGAGGAGGAGGTGGAGGATGAAGAAGAGGATCAAGAGGCCTCGACGCTCCTCGCCGATGAAGAAAAAAGGCAGGCGCCCGAGCGATGCCAAGGTGCTTCAAGATCCGTACATCCATCGTGCTTACCCGTGGGTCGCGAATGTCCCCCTCTACAGGCGGACTCTGGACGGACATGAAAAAGACCCCAACAGATGATAAAAGTGGTGCCAAACAGTACTCAAACAGCGTCCCCAGACTGTTTTCGAACTATTTCTGAAGATTCCCCCTGCAGAGGGACAGGCCCGACTCGATGCTACCATTATGTCGGGCGTGTCCCCCTATAGGGAGAACGTCGACGAAAAATTAGAAATGCCCCAACAATGGTCAAAAAGGCCCCCAAAAAATATAAAAAATAGTCCCCAGACTATGTTTGGATTATTGTTTGACTATTTTAGGGGTATGTTGTATTTTTCGTAGAAAATCCCCCTGTAGGGGGACAGGCCCGATTTAATGCTACCACGAGGCTGCCCAGGGAGGAAAAATCCACGGGGCTCCTCTGGGCACAGAGGGCCTCGGCCACGAGTGGGCTCCCCGACCACGGCTCTGAGGAACGGCCCACGACCAGAGCCCCTTCTGAGCCCAGCGTGGTCCCTACAGGGCAGTTTTTTTGTTACACATGGGATCTTTGAACAATATAGGATGTTTAATACATTAATACATAATTGATCTATGAATGAATGTATGCATGAACTCATCGCTTTCGATACTAAATCCCTGCACTTTTAATACATGATCCGCACGCGGAGCATGTGTAACAAACGGCACTGTACAGTCGGCCTTGCCCGGGCAGGACACGCGAGAGGACACAAGACCCTTCCGAGGGCCACATCGCCATAGGAGTGCAAGGGCACGTGTCGCGAGGCATAGGGCACACGGGTGCCCTTGAGCTGGCAGGGTCGACCTACTAATCCGGGCCGACTGCATTTCAGCGTCTTGACTGTACCTCCTGCGTGTCTAACTACCGGTGGCCCCAAGGAGCCGTCGTGGAGCTCTCTTGGAGGCTCGGGCGCCCGGCCAAAGAGGCAGACCTCCCTGCGAATCTCAGGTGTACGATCTGTGCACACTCGCGCATGCGGCCCGAAGAGCGTCTCAGACGACCCAACAGGCCCCCGAGAGCGCTGCCAGATGGCTGCCAAGCCCCCAGAGAAGGGCGCAAAAAGGGGTCCAGTAGGATGGTCTCTGAGGGGCCTTCGGGGCCCTCCACCTCAAGGTTGCCCCGAGACCGCCTCGAGGCCTCCAAGAGGCGCCCAGCAGGCTCCCAGGGGCTCCCAAGGGGCCCCGAGGAGGCCAGCAAGAGGCCTTCCAGTGCTGCACGAGGAGGGCAAAGAGGAGCAACACTGGGAGGAATGAGGGGCGAGGAGGACAGGGAGGCGTACACCAGAGCTCCAGAGTGCGAGCGTCACCATCCTGGATCTTGCCCCTGCGCGACCCCACCCGCTGTTGAGAGTCGGCCCGAAGCCGCGCGGACCAGTGCTGGGGGCCCAGACGGATACGAGGCGTGCCTTATGTTGCATCATCTTTGGGGACCTCGTCTGTCCCGTCGCGCCAACCATCCGCGCCGCATCCATGTCGAATGCATGTCGAACGCGTCGAATCCGTGTCGAATCCAAGTCGGATCTGTGTCGAACCCACTCACCGCAGAGTACAAGAGAAAACTGCCACTTGCAGGACAGGAGAGGTCCCCCGAAGATGCACGACAACGTCCTGCTTCCTGTCGCCAAGCTGGGCACGGTGCATGCTTGACGATGCGCGCTGCGACGAATATGGCGAAACCAGAAAACACCTATACTGCTACTCCCCGGAAGTATCCTGGGGTGCGCTCTGACCAAGGCTTCGAGGCGAAGCCAGCCGTGGCGCCGCGGGCCTCCCGGGAGGCCCAGGGATGCGGAGACGGGGGAAGGGCGGCTGATCATCTCAGCGCCCTGACTGCACTCCCCCCGCCACGCCCGGCACGAGTCCGCTCGAGATCGGTCCCTGGACCCCTCCTGGAGCCCAGCCTGCCTCGTGTTTCGGTGCGGACCCGGCCGTGGTGGCGAGAAGCCTCAAGGAGGCACAAAAGATCGGGAGCGGCCAAGAGGGGGGCGTCCGAGGGGGGGGTGCAAATCATGGCAGGCGGCGCGTGCACGGCCCAAGGGGGGGCCAGGGACGCAGTGAGATCCAAAGAGGCGCCACGACATCTGGGGAAATACCCTGGCCACCCCCTCGGGAGCGGCCAAGAGGGGGGTGTCCAAGAGGGGGGGGTGCAAATCACGACCGGCGGCATGTGCGCGGCCCAGCGGGGGGGCCAGGGACGCAATGAGATCAGAAGAGGCGCCATGACATCTGGGGAAATACCATGGCCCCCGCCATGATATCCACCCCCCCTAGTCATCACCCCCCTCTTTTCCGCTCCCGAGGTCATCACTCCCCCCCTGGCCGCCCCTGGGAAGAGAGCCCCCCGCCCGCCCGAGGGGAGGAGGCGCAGGAGGCCGAGGGCGGCGGCGGGGCGTCCCTCCTCCCTCCTCCCTCCTCCCTCCTCCCTCCTCCTCCTCCCTCCTCCCTCCTCCCTCCTCCTCCTCCCCCTCCCTCTCTCCTCCCTCCTCCTCCTCCCTCCTCCCTCCTCCCTCCTCTCTCCTCCCTCCTCCCTCCTCCCCCCTCCCTCCTCCCCCCTCCCCCCCTCCCAGCGGGGCCCACCCGAGCTCTGCCGCGGCCAGGGCCTGCGGCCCGACAGGGCGCTGCCCCGCGCGGAGGCGGGGGCCCACCTCGCGGGGAGGGGGGGCCGGCCGGGCGCGCCGAGGGCGAGGCCCAGGAGGAGCCCCAGGAGGGCCCCCGAGGGGCCCAAGAGAGGGGCCTCTTCAGAGGGCCCACCGGCGGAGGAGGCAGGAGGAGGCAGGAGGAGGAGGAGGAGGAGGAGGAGGAGGAGGAGGAGGAGGAGGAGGAGGAGGAGGGGGAGGAGGCAGGGGGAGGAGGCAGGGGGAGGAGGAGGAAGAGGAGGAGGAGGAGGAGGCAGGGGGAGGCAGGAGGAGGAGGAGGAGGAGGAGGAGGAGGAGGAGGAGGAGGCAGGGGGAGGAGGAGGCAGGGGACGACGTCCAGGAGGGAGGCGCCAGGGAGGATGCGGCGGGAGGACTGGGCGCTGCCCCGCGCGGGGGCACGGGCCCACCCCGCGGGGAGGAAGGCGGCCGGATGCGCCGAGGGCAGGGCGGCAGCGGAAGGCAGCGCACGTGGGCTCGGGAGGTCGGATCGGAGATCGGCACTTCTACGTCGCATCCGGGCGCTCTCGAAGAGGCTACGGCATCGGCATCCACCAGCCGGAGATTCGCGCAGATGTCTCGGAGCTCCGCGCGGATTCACCAGAGGTGCCCTGAGGGGGGGCGGAAGCAGTTGGCATCGGCTCGGGGAGTCGGGTCGGACATCGGCATCTGCGCCAGATCGCTCGAAAACGGCGCGCGTGCACCGCACCCTCTGTGGGCCTCCTTCGGGCCTCGCTCCAGCGCGGAAGGGTGCCCAGTATTGGGCGCTGCGGGCCGACAGCAGTATGCATCGTTCCATGCCGAGGTCCTCCAGGCGTCAGGTCGCAGGTCGACGGCACCTCGGGAGATGCGAGCGCCGCACGGAGCATAGAGGTTGTCCGCGGACGAGGGGAACCTGGCAGCATCGGCCTGGGAAGTCGGATCGACGATCGGGATCTGCGCCGGGTCGGGCCGCATCTCGAGGAAACGACGGCATAAGCACAAACTGTCGGAGTTCTGCGCGGATGTGTCAGATCTGCGCTGGCCCCCCTGGCGGCGCCCCCGGTGCCGCCCCTGGCGCGCTCCGCGCGCCAAAGAAACGGTCCAGCGCAGATCCGAGAACTCCGCTCAGAAAACCGAGAAGTTTGATTCAAAACCAAAAAGATTCAAACAAAACAGTCCCCATACATGTTCTACCTATTTTTGTACATCCCTCCTGTAGAGGGACATGCCCGACATGACCGAAGTTGTGTGCCGCCTTTTGTTCCTCGAGCACCGACTAGAGGCCTCCTAGATGGGGTCGGAGTAAATGGGGTCGGAGGATCGCACCGCATCGACGATACATCGGCGATACATCGTCGATGCATCGGCGACGCATCGGCGACGCAGCGGCGATGCATCGTCGACGCTGGCGATGCATCGGCGACGTCGACGCGACGCAAATCGGACTGCACATCGAGCCGCATCGGCGATGCATTGGCGATGCGGCGCGATCCCCCGACCCCATCTACTCCGACCCCATCTAGGAGACCTAGACCGACGGGGAGACGTCACGTGCGTGGCCCCGCCGGGAAGCACGGCAGCGCCGTGCCAGCAGCGGGCCGGGGGCCCGCGCCGCTCCGGGATGTCCGCGGGGGCCTCCGAGGAGTCGATGCTCGTATCTACCGGCCTGGAGCACATCCCGATCCCCATGCTGCGCATCGCCCCTATCACGATGCCAACCTCAGGGATTCCCTCAGTTTCTGAGGGCGCATCCCTAAGATTGCCATCGCCTTTCGGCGTGTCAATCTCAGGGATAGGGATCAGTCCGAGGCTGGTGATATATAGGTTCTTGTCCTCGGGCATGGACTTTTCACTATCTCCGATGCCTGTCGTTACCCAAGGGTGTCTTGGGGACACAGGAACAGAATGCATGCGCTCAGGGCCGTGGGAGGAGACGAACATCGTCTGTCCGCCGCTCTGGGCAGAGGCAGTGGCTTCTTCAACACGCGGAAAGCCGCTGTTCCACAGACGGGGCGGGATTGCCAACATGCGGGGGCGGGGGTCCAGACCTCCACCCTCACCGCGAGAGGTGCGCACTGGGCCCCCCGAGTGGTGGGAACTTCCGGGGCACGTTCTGACCAGAGCTTCGAGGCCAATCCAGCGATGGCGGCGAGGGCCTCCCAAAGGGGGAGCGAAGAGCGGGGAAAACGGGCGAAGGGCAGCGGTGCGGGTATCTTTGTCCAGTCTGGATCTCATGGGCCCGTGGGCATGACAAACTGCAAGCTCGGGGGGGGGGTGCGGGCACTTAGTGCCCGCACCCCCCCCCCCGAGCTTCCTACTACTTATGTCCATATCCACTACTTATGTCCATGGCACTACTTATGGACATAAGTAGTGCCACTACTTATGTCCATATCCAGAGCGTCGTGAACTTTTTGGGAAGAGGTGCCGCAACGCCGAGGCGCACTGGATATGGATAAAATCAAGCCTCTTGGGGCCAGATTTTTATCCATATCCAGTGCGTCTACGTTTTCTGGGGAAGAGAGCCCAAGAATCCAAGACGCACTGGATGTGGATATAACTATGGCCCGCAGGGGGGGAGCGGCAGGAGGGGAAGGAAGCCTGGGCGAGGAGGAGGAGGAGGAGGAGGAGCCAGGCGGCGCGGCGGCGCGACGCCGCCGCGCCCGCTCCCCGTTTGCCAGGCGTGCGCGCGGGCAGGGGCCCCCCAGAGGTCGGCCCCAGGGACCCCGTGGCCCCTTTCCCTCGCAAGGAGGAGGGGAAGGAGGGGGGGATTGGGGTGGAGCGGAAAATGGGAAGGGGGAGGGGGGAGGAGCAGGAGCGGGAGGCGGAGGCGGCGGTGGACGATCACTGACCGAGCTGCCAGGTCTGCGAGCGGGCCGCCGCCATGGAACAATACCTCGGGTGAGTCGTTCCGCCGAGGAGTCGAGGAGGAGGAGGAGGAGGAGGAGGAGGAGGAGGAGGAGGAGGAGGAGGAGGAGGAGGAGGAGGAGCGCGTCGAGGAGGAGGAGAGACCCCGTCGTCCGTCTGTCGTCCTTCGCGCTGTCGCGGCGTGTCGTGCGCCCGCTCCGCAGGTGCAACGGCCTGCCGCCCCCCGCGGAGGCCGCGGAGGGGCCCTTCTTTTCTGGGCCGCAGCGCAAGCAACGCCGTGGAGCAGGGAGTCGCGAGGGTGCGGCCATTGACCGACTCGGGCAGCCCCCAGCGCCAGCTGCGAAAGCTTCAGGCAAGGTAGGCCACAAGACATCCACTATCAGCGCGCTCCCTCCGAGCATGTCGCAGTGGCCTGCAGACGCGACATGAGCGACGTGGATGCCCCCCCCCCAGCGCAGAGTCCAAAGTTCAGTCCTTCTCTCCCCACATAGCCTCCCCTCTCCCTCCCTCCATCCTCCTGCTTTCCTCCTCCTGGTCCTCCTCCGCCTCCTCTTCCCTCCCCGACCCCTCATTCCCCTTCACTTTCTCCCGCCCCTCCTCCTCCTCCTCCTCCTCCTCCTCCTCCTCCTCCTCCTCCTCCTCCTCCTCCTCTTCCTCCTCCTCCTCCTGCACCTCCTCCCCTCCCCATCCCGCTTTCCCGCTGCCTGCCCTCTCCCGCCCCGTCTTGCGAGGAGGGACGGGACGAGGACGGGGAGAACGAGAGAGAGAGAGAGGGAGAGAGAGAGGGAGAGGGAGAGGGTGGCGGCGAGGGAAGACGACACCACCAGCACCACCAGGGACGGGGGCCGGGCATGAACCTCCTCTCGGTATGGCCCCCCATGCTCCGCGCGCCCCGCCCGAGATGCCTCCGCTCCCCAGGTCGGGGAGGCATCGGTCGGAGCGCCTCGCTGGCGGTGGCCCCCCTGGCGGCGGTGGCCCTCAAACCGAAAGAGAAGACACATCACGGCCCCCCTCTGGAGGTACAGTTGGGGCGCTGACCTAGGGAACCCTAAAATAAGGAACGAGGCCCCTTTTTCCCCATCAGTGAAGCTTCGATTCCCCATCGACAACCTAAGGAAAGCCCAGGGCAAACGGTAGAACAGCTATAAGGAGCACGGAGCCCCTCCCCAACGAAAAAGGGTCCCTTCGTCGGCGCCTCGACCGTGGCCAGCTGTGCGCCGGGCCCGATCCTGGCCCGGAGCCACTTTGGGCCCAGCCTCCGTGTGCACGCGGGCACACGCCTGGCCATCGCTCGGACGTCCATTCCCTGTGTTTTTGTTCGCTTTCGTGCGTGGCTTTTTCGCAAAATGATCGAGGATGCTCCTCGATGGTCCTCCCCGAAGGAAAAATACACACGTCCGAGCGATGCCAGGACGCTGGCACGAAATTGCGGCTCCGTGGAGCGGGCGCGGGGGCGCCGGACCCAGGGACTGGGGAAGAACCAGAACAGAGCGCAGGGCCAGCGCCACCCGGTGCGGCGGCGGAGCGCGACGACTCGGTTCGGAGACGGGGCTCATCGCTTACAGTCGGGGCGCTGACCTAGGGAACCCTAAATTCGCCGGCCCAACGAGCCAGAGGCGTGCTAAGATCTCCGGCAACTACTTAACAATATTTCTAGTTCGCGCGCGCGGGGCGGCCCCTGGGGGGCCCCGGACGAAAAGTACCCCGGCCGATCCCCGGCTGACCCCCGGGCGATCCCCAGGGGGGAATTATTTTTCGCCACTCCTCACGAGGATCGTGGCCTCCAAGGGGGAGGCTGCCAGCGACTACCCAAGAGGCCCCAGGGGAGCCCTACGCCGCCAAGGAGCCCCAAGACGCTCCCAAGAAGCCCCCAAGAAGCCCCCAAGACGGCCCCACGAGGCCCCAAATAGCGCTCCAGGGCCGGCGGAATGAGCGAAGCGATTAATGAAGGAACAAGGCCCCTTGTTCCCATAAGTTAATCTTCGATTTCCCATGGATTATCCCGGCAAAGCAACCTAACAGCGATGTGTAGGAGCATATCTGGAAGCATCCCCCTTAAGATTCAGATGAGAATCCAGTTGTAGAGTTCTGCTGTTCTCGCAGTCGTAGTCGCATTCGCGATGACAGTCGCAGTGGCCTGCATTAGCCTCAGCCTCAGCCTCAGCCTGCCTCAGCATCAGCCTCAGCCTCAGCTTCAGCCTGCCTCAGCCTCAGCCTCAGCCTGCTCCTGCATCAGCCTCAGTCTGCCTGCAGCCTCGGCCTCAGCCTCAGCCTGCCTCAGCCTGAGCCTGCCTCAGCCTCAGCCTCAGCCTCAGCCTGCCTCAGCCTCAGCCTCCTCAGCCTCAGCCTCAGCCTCAGCCTCAGCCTCCTCAGCCTCAGCCTCAGCCTGCCTCAGCCTCAGTCAGCCTGTCAGCCTTCAGCCTCGGCCTCAGCCTCAGCCTGCCTCAGCCTCAGCCTGCATCAGCCTCAGCCTCAGCCTCAGCCTGCCTCAGCATCAGCCTGCCTCAGCCTCAGCCTCAGCCTGCCTCAGCCTCAGCCTCAGCCTGCTTCAGCCTCAGCCTCAGTCTGCCTTCAGCCTCGGCCTCAGCCTCAGCCTGCCTCAGCCTCAGCCTGCATCAGCCTCAGCCTCAGCCTCAGCCTGCCTCAGCATCAGCCTGCCTCAGCCTCAGCCTCAGCCTGCCTCAGCCTCAGCCTGCTTCAGCCTCAGCCTCAGTCTGCCTTCAGCCTCGGCCTCAGCCTCAGCCTGCCTCAGCCTCAGCCTGCATCAGCCTCAGCCTCAGCCTCAGCCTGCCTCAGCATCAGCCTGCTCAGCCTCAGCCTCAGCCTGCCTCAGCCTCAGCCTCAGCCTGCTTCAGCCTCAGCCTCAGTCTGCCTTCAGCCTCGGCCTCAGCCTCAGCCTGCCTCAGCCTCAGCCTGCATCAGCCTCAGCCTCAGCCTCAGCCTCAACCTCAGCCTGCCTCAGCATCAGCCTCAGCCTGCTTCAGCAGCTCAGTCTGCCTTCAGCCTCGGCCTCGGCTCGGCCTCAGCCTCAGCCTCAGCCTTTCAGCCTCAGCCTCAGCCTCTCAGCCTCAGCCTCAGCCTCAGCCTGCCCTCAGCCTCAGCCTCAGCCTCAGCCTCAGCCTCAGCCTCAGCCCTCAGCCTCAGCCTCAGCCCTCAGCCTGCAGCAGCCTCAGCCAGTCTGCCTTCAGCCTCGGCCTCGGCCTCAGCAGCCTCAGCCTGCAGCCTCAGCCTCAGACTCAGCCTCAGCCTCAGCCTGCCTCAGCATCAGCCTGCCTCAGCCTCAGCCTCAGCCTCAGCCTCAGCCTCAGCCTGCTTCAGCCTCAGCCTCAGTCTGCCTCGGCCTCGGCCTCAGCCTCAGCCTGCCTCAGCCTCAGCCTGCATCAGCCTCAGCCTCAGCCTCAGCCTGCCTCAGCATCAGCCTGCCTCAGCCTCAGCCTCAGCCTGCCTCAGCCTCAGCCTCAGCCTGCTTCAGCCTCAGCCTCAGTCTGCCTTCAGCCTCGGCCTCAGCCTCAGCCTGCCTCAGCCTCAGCCTGCATCAGCCTCAGCCTCAGCCTCAGCCTGCCTCAGCATCAGCCTGCCTCAGCCTCAGCCTCAGCCTGCCTCAGCCTCAGCCTCAGCCTGCTTCAGCCTCAGCATCAGTCTGCCTTCAGCCTCGGCCTCAGCCTCAGCCTGCCTCAGCCTCAGCCTGCATCAGCCTCAGCCTCAGCCTCAGCCTGCCTCAGCATCAGCCTGCCTCAGCCTCAGCCTCAGCCTGCCTCAGCCTCAGCCTCAGCCTCGGCCTGCTTCAGCCTCAGCCTCAATCTGCCTTCAGCCTCGGCTTCAGTCTCAGCCTGCCTCAGCCTCAGCCTGCATCAGCCTCAGCCTCAGCCTCAGCCTGCCTCAGCCTCAGCCTGCATCAGCCTCAGCCTGCTTCAGCCTCAGCCTCAGCCTGCATCAGCCTCAGCCTGAGTCTGCCTTCAGCTTCGGCCTCAGCCTCAGCCTGCCTCAGCCTGCCTCAGCCTCAGCATCAGCCTGCCTCAGCATTCAAAATGTGGCCAGGGAATGGAATTCTGGGAACTCGAAGAACACGAAGTGGCCTACAGTTTGCTCCGGGCATTCAAAATCATACCCAGGAATGGAGTTCTGGGAAGTCCAAGAGCACGAAGTGGCCTACAGTTGGCTCCGGGCATCCAAAATGTGGCCCGGGAATGGAGTTCTGGGAACTCGAAGACCACGAAGTGGCCTACAGTTGGCTCCGGGCATCCAAAATGTGGCCCGGGAATGGAGTTCTGGGAACTCGAAGACCACGAAGTGGCCTACAGTTGGCTCCGGGCATCCAAAATGTACGCCGGGAATGGAGTTCTGGGAGCTCGAAGACCACGAAGTGGCCTACAGTTGGCTCCGGGCATTCAGAATGTGGCCCGGGAATGGAGTTCTGGGAGGTCGAAGAATGGAGTTCTGGGAGGTCGAAGAGCACGAAGTGTGTGACTGTTTGCGAAAAACGAGGTTCCCCGGCAATCCCCAACGGCCCCCCAACGGCCCCCCAACGGCTCCCCAACGGCTGCCCAGACCCCCCTGTGGAGTCATCTGCTGCTCTCTTTTGAGACCACTAGAAACCTATCAGTCTTCGCTGTTAGGTAAAAACCCAAGGAACACCCAGGGCATACTCTAACAGTATCGAGGAACACCGAGCCCCTCCCCAACGAAAAGGGTTCCTTCTGCAGCGCCCCGGCTGTACCCGCGCGCCCTGACCCAGGCTTGCGCTTCCGTGAGCACTGGGCCCAGCATCCGCGCACACGCCTCCCTGACTCGGCCAGGGAAATGACACGCACCCATCCTGAGGATGGGCCCAGGATCGTCCTGGCCGCGAACGGCGATCGGGTGTACGCGTACCCGTCGGTCGGAAGAAGCAGGTAGAAACACGCAGTAGGAAGGCGCTGGCAATAGATTGGGCTCCGTTCGCCCCCTCGGGAGGACGGAAAAGGTGAAGCCGCTCGATGACTGAAGCAGGAAGGTGCTTCAAGCAGATTGGCACCTGGGACTCCCAAAATTTAATTTACTTATAATCAAAATAAAAAACATATAAAACATGCTTACAGAATTTCCATAAAAATTCATACGACATACAAGACGAATACTTACTTCTATTCATTATAACGCACATACGTTCAACGACCGACGGGTACTCCGCTGGCGCCCCTAGCCGATCCCCCCCCCCCGACCCCGCCGCTGCCGCCGCCCCCGCCCCGGCGTGCGCCGCCCGGCCGGCCAGCCCCCCCCCGACGGGCCCACACGGTCTGGTCGGCGGCCGCGTGCTCGCGGAACTTGTCCTGCCGCCGAGGGGGGGCGAGAACAGAAGAAGAGTAACAGTAGCCATCATGATAGCGATGGTCAGAAGAACTGCATTACTAAAAACTGACAATGGTGATGATGACGATGACGATGACGATGACGATGACGATGACGATGATGATGATGATGATGATGATGATGATGATGATGATGATGATGATGATGATGATGATGATTATGATGATGATGATGATGATGATGATGATGATGATGATGATGATGATGATGATGATGATGATGATGATGATGATGATGATGATGATGATGATGCTGATGATGATGATGATGATGATGATGATGATGATGATGATGATGATGATGATGATGATGATGATGATGATGATGATGATGATGATGATGATGATGATGATGATGATGAGGATGATGATGATGATGTGATCGAGCGTGATCCACCGCCGCTTTATTGTGGAAAATTGCCCCCGCATTTCCTCCGGAACCCGGGGGTCGCCCCCCCCCCCCTCCGAAAATCCCCCCCCCCTGCTGGAACCCATCCCCCCCCCCCCTTCCCCCCGGCAAAACCCCCCCCCTCCCCTAACCCCTCCCCCCCCCCTCCAGCTCGAAAACCGAAAACCGGGGGGGGTCACTTCCGGTTCGAACCCCCTCCCCCCCCCCCCTCCGGATCCGGAAAACCGGGGGGGGTCACCGTTCGAACCCCTCCCCCCCCCCCACCGGATCCAGAAACCGTGGGGGGTCACTACCGGTTCGAACCCCCCCCCCCCCCCCCTTACCATCCGGAAAACGGGAGGGGTCACTACCGGTTTCGAACCCCCCCCCCCCCCCACCCCCCACTCACCGCCAGCAAACGACTCCCGGCCCCACCACCGTCCGCATCACATCCCCCACTGGTGTTCCCAGCACCACTGTCCTCACCACCGCTGTCCCCACTGGTTCCACCACCGCCCCTACTGTCCCCACCAGTGGCCCCACCACTGTCGCACTGTCCCCGCTGTCCCCAGAACTGTTCCCACCACGGTTCCACTCTCCCCACTGTCTCCACGGCCCCAACCACTGCCCGACTATCCCCACTGTCCCCACTGTCCCACTGACTCCTCCGCTGTCCCACTGAGCTGTCCCACTGTTCCCACCACTGTCCCCACTGTCCCCACCACTGTCCCCACTGTACCTTTGTCCCATTGTCCCACCGCCGTCCTCGCCACCGCCTTCACCACTGTCCCCACCACCATTGTACCCTCCACTGTCCCACTGTTTCCACATTCCCATTGTCCCCACACACTGTCCCCACCACTACCGTCCCCACCACTGTCCCGCTGTCCCCACTGTCCCCACCACTGTCCCCACCACTGTCCCGCTATCCCCTCACCACTGTCCCCACCAACACCGTCCCCACCACTGTCCGCACCCCCACTCGGTTTTCGAGGGGGGGGGGGGTTCGAACCGGTAGTGACCCCCCCCGGTTTTCGAGGGGGAGGGGGGGGAGGGGTTCGAACCGGTAGTGACCCCCCCCCCTTTTCATGATGAGCTGGGGGGGGGAGGGGTTCGAACCGGTAGTGACCCCCCCCGGTTTTCCGGAGGGGGGGGGGGAGGGGTTCGAACCGGTAGTGACCCCCCCCGGTTTTCCGCCAGCAGCGGTAGAACACGCTCTTTCTGATGATGATGATGATGATGATGATGATGATGATGATGATGATGATGATGATGATGATGATGATGATGATGATGATGATGATGATGATGATGATTATGATGATGAGAATGCTGCCAGTTCTAATCATAAGCTGCTCTTCAAAAGGGCTCGGCCGCTCGGCGGCCGAGCGGCTCCGGTCGGCTTCCAGCACCACGAGCGAGGCCTCGAGGCCGAGGCCGAGGGAAACGCCGGCACGGCGCCCCCTCGGCGCCGCGGCGCTCCCCCGGGGAGCCTCGCCCGAGACGGGAGGGAACTCTGCCGCCTCGGACCCCCCGCCGCCTGTCCAGCCCTCCCGCGCTGCCAGTCCCCCGAAGCAGCGTGCAACACACAGGAGCGCCAGCATCGACTCCCGGAGGCGTGCGCGCATCTTCTGCTTCTCTGTCCCCCCAGCCACCCTCCTCCTCCTGCTCCTACTCCTCCTCCTCCTCCTCCTCCTCCTCCTCCTCCTCCTTCCTCCTCCTCCTCCTCCTCCATCCTCCTCCTCCTACTCCTCCTCCTCCCCCCTCCTCCTCCCCCCTCCTCCTCCACCCCCTGAGGCCTCGGCCGGCGCGTAGCTGTCGCCTCGCGCGTCGCTCTACCCTATTTTTCCCGCGCTTCCTCTGCCTCGTGAGTCTCTGCGTAGCCCGCTTCGGCCCGACTCGCCGCCGGCGCGCTCGCCCGCGGCCGCTGACTAAAAAGCATCTTCTGCTTCGGCGCTTGCCCCCCGCCCCCCCCCCTCCCCCTGGCGCACGGGGCGCGACAGGGGCGGCACTGAAGGCGCAGCCAGGGGAGACAGGCGAAGATCTACGCGCGGACCCCCTAAAGTGGATGTTTACGTAGCATTCCTTCTTTCGCCCAGAAGCAGCCACGTGGAGAATCTGGTTGCTCAAACTCCATGTGGTCCCTGGCCCCTTCTCTGACTTGTATGACCCTTCCGAGGGTGATGCGAGCTCTTGCCGAAACGAACACCGCTGTCCCGATCCACTAGACGGCGTCTTGAAAAGACGAGTGTAACGCGCCATGCGCTTGTAAAGACATTGGTGCCCATGTGTCGTACATGTTACAGAGAAGGCGGAGGATAACTACACGGCAGTGCGGCGCCACCATACTGCAGACTGCAAGAGAGTGCTACGAAATAGCGGCAAGTATATCCACGAAACAACTGGAAGACCTCCAACGTTAGACCAGGACAGCAACGAGCTACGAAACCACATCCAGTAATGTGATGTAATCAAACACTACATCCACAAAACCGTTCGCGACGCATCTCGTAATCTGACTCCAGCTGGCATGGGCATGTCCGACGATTTCCCCTGCGTTCTGGCCACAATTGGTGGATTCGCACGGCAACTGATTATTAGACATGATTTTTCTGGCTGACCCGCCCCCTCCTTCTTCTTGTCAGTTTTGTCCTACTCTGCCTCCCTCCAAACATTCCTCCTACTCCCATTTTTCCTGTCCTTGTTCCTCTTGCCTTTTTCCTTCTCCACCCCCCTTCTCCACATCCCCCCTCGTTTCCCCTCCCCTCCTCGTACTTCCTCTCCCTTCCCTCCCTCCCACCAGCTTCCCTGCCCTCATTCCCCCCTCCTGTCGTCCCCGCTCTCCCATCCCATCATCTCCGCACCCCTCGTCTCCCTTGCCTCCCGCCCCCCCCCCCCTCCATCTATTCGTCCTTCACTCCTGCACCTTCCCTCCTACATCCTTCGCTCCTTCCCTTTCCCCTCCCTTCCTCCATCCCTGCCTCCCTCCTGGCTGTCTTGCGCCCCCCGGACGTCCACGCGCGGCGTAGGCGGCGGCGTGAGCTTGACCGGCTCGGTGAAGACGGGCAGCACAAACCTCAGCGCACCGCTCTTGCTTCCGCTCGGCAGCTCCCTGGTCTTCTCCCCTCCCCGCCTCATATTCCTCCCCCCGTCTCGTCCTCCCCGTCCTCCTCTTGTTTCTCCTCCTCGTTTTCCTCTCCTCCTCGCCCTCCTCCTCCTCCTCCTCCTCTTCCTCAATTTCCTTCTCCTCCTCATCCTTTTCCTCCTCTTCCCCTCCTTCTCCTCCTCCTCCTCATTCTCCCCCGCCTCCCCTCCCCCCCCCTCCCCTCCTCCTCCTCCTCCTCCTCCTCCTCCTCCTCCTCCCTCCTCCTCCTCCTCCCTCCTCCTCCTCCTCCTCCTCCTCCTCCTCCTCCCTCCTCCTACTCCTCCTCCTCCTCCTCCTCCCCTCCTCCTCCTCCTCCTCCTCCTCCTCCTCCTCCTCCTCCTCCTCCTCCTCCTCCTCCTCCTCCTCCTCCTCCTCCTCCTCCTCCTCCTCCTCCTCCTCCTCCGTCTTCTTCCCGCTCCATATTCTCGCCCTTTTCCCCCCATCCTCCCCCGTCGCCCCATGCTCCGCAACGTCGTCGACGCCTTGGCCACCATATCATTTATCAGATCACTTCAGAAAACGGCACAGGGCAGTGCGATCATCACCCATAACACCATGACCAACACCTAGCCACCACAACCCGCAACATCACCACGAATCAGCATCATCTCCATACGCATTGAAACATCTTCAACATCCCCACAGTAGGTAACCAGCATCATCAACATGATTATCAACTCGACCATCCCCACAACCCCCATCCCATCGCCATCCTCACCACGCACACCACCAAATACAAACGCAAACCACCACCACGTCCGTCACCACCATTGCCATCATCTTCGTCACAGCCCATCGTAATTACCATCATCATCCTCATTTGTATGGTACTAGCAGCAGCGCCAGATTCGTCGCCGTCGTCATCGTCATCAGCATAACCGTCATCATCATCATCATCGTCATCATCATCATCATCATCATCAGCATCAGCATCAGCATCAGCATCATCAGTGTCATCACCACCATCAGCATCATCGTCATCATAATCAGCATCCCCATCCTCATCCTCATCATCATCCTCATCATCATCACCACCATCATCACCACCGCCACCTCACCATCGGCAACAACCAGGGCCTTACCTAAACGGTGGTTTACGTGCTATTCCTGAGTTGGATATGACTCGGTTTGTCTTCGCCCCACCTTTGCTACTACTACTTCTACTGCTGCGACTCCTACTACTACTACTACTACTACTACTACTACTACTACTACTACTACTACTACTACTACTACTACTACTACGATTACGACTACTACTACTACTACTACTACTACTACTACTACTACTACTACTACTACTACTACTACTACTACTACTACTACTACTACTACTACTACTACTACTACTACTACTACTACTACTACTATACCACCACGACTACTACTACTACTACTACTACTACTACTACTACTACTACTACTACTACTACTACTACTACTACTAACTACTACTACTATACTACGACTACTACTACTAGTACTGCTACACACGACTGACTACTACTACTACTACTACTACTACTACGCTACTACTACTATACTACTTACTGACTACTACTACTACTACTACTACTACTACTACTTACTACTACTACTACTACTGCTACTACTACTACTACTACTACTACTACTACTACCACTACTACTACTACTACTACTACTACTACTACTACTACTACCACCACTACTACTACTACTACTACTACTACTACTACTACTACTACTACTACTACTACACTACTACTACTACTACTACTACTACTACTACTACTACTACTACTACTACTACTACTACTGCTGCTACTACTACTACTACTACTACTACTACTACTACTACTACTGCTACTACCCCAAGACGTACCTCTCAAAACTCTGACCCGCAACCGACGCATGGTGGCGGGGTGGGCAAACTGCTGTTAGGTTACTACGACAACGACAACGACAACGACAACGACTACGACTACGACTGCCGCTGCTGTTGCCCGCCGTCTGCCGCGGTGCGTTGGGGCCGCGGCGTTCGTGGGCAGCCTGTGGAAGCCAGCGGGCCAGTCCTGCCGGCCAGCGGCACCCGCTCTCCGGGCGCAGCGCCATGCGGAACAGTGCCCAGGACTAGATGGGGAGCAAAGCGACACCACGCCTCCCCGACCTGGGGGGGGTGCGTCTCGAGCGGGGAGGGGGAGATCAAACCACCAGCAGGAGGACCCCGTGTGGTTCCTCGAGCTGGTGGTCGTGGTGTGCCTTCTTACCTTCGCGATTGCCAAGATCGCCCGCCAGATTTTCCAGTGGCCCGAGAGCCCCAGAACACGAGTGGTGTCCCTTCCTACCCCCCTGCCAAGGGAGCCGCGGCCACCAGGAGCGGGCTGCGCCGAGGCGGGGGGGCACGGTATCACCACACCCTACAGGGCAGTTTTTAATACATCGGATTTTCACAAATATAGGATTTGTAATACATGATGAATGTATGAACAAATGTATGCATGAACTCATCGTTGTTTTTAATACTCAATCCCTGCATTTTTAATTCATGATCCGCACGCGGAGCATGTATAAAAAAACGGCACTGTACGTAGTCCTCACCCACAATTTTGTGGACGCCCCTTGCCTTCCAGGAGCAACGCCGGGCGGGAGTCCCAGAGCGGCGCGGTGACAGACCGCGCAGTGGTGACCTCGGACTGCCCAAAAACCTCACCAGACGTGATGCACGTTTTTTGAGCCCAGGACGCCCCGGTCGTCTGAGGCATCCTCGGATATGACCCAGTCCCCAAAACCGTGCGGTCACCCAGACACCCCAGTGACCAACCAGACCGCGTGGTCACCACGCGCTGTGGTGGCCTGCCCCTCCGCCTCCTCCTCCTCCTCCTCCTCCTCCTCCTCCTCGTCTTCCTCCTCCTCCTCCTCCTCATCTTCCTCCTCCTGCTGCTCCTCCTCCCCGAAGCAGCGCCGAGGGAGGAAACAAAGAGGCCCCGGGAGAAAGCGGCGGTTTGAGCGGGGAGCAGTCGCAGTAGCCACCGGGCGGGGGCAAGGGTAAGACCAGAGCGGCAGACAAGAGAGGGGGGCGGGGGGGGGAGGGCCGCGCGGAGGGGGACACGCCCTCCCGACCCGGCCCAAAGCCTTCGCCCTACGGCCGGTCCCCTCTCGAAGCGACGAGGGGGGCGGGGGAGGTCGAGGGGCGAGGGGAAAGAGGCGTCATGGAGTTGAAGGGGCCCCAGGACACACAAATAAATACACACAAATAAAACCTTATATTTTCCTATATTTTCTGGGTTTCTGTCTTCCCCCCCACTTCCCATATTTTCCCATCTTTTCTGGGGAATCGAGGATTCATTGTGTCTGTGTGTTTCTTTTCCTCCTGAGGAGTGTCATGGGGGCCACGGTCTACGTGGCTGCAGACTCGGGGCACAGGAGAGCGCCAGGCACAATGCGCCGCGACGCACACGGGTGGCGGCATCCTCCAAGACGGGGGCTGCTGGGTCACGGTGGCCTGGGAAGAGACCCCGTCTGATAAGCTGGACATTCTCCCGACCCGTCTTCGTGAGGGGGACGCACACTCCAGACAATTGCCTCTGGCTAACCGTGGCGGACGGGCCACAACAAGAGCAAGAGTACCCCACCGGCCCGAACGATCCCATGACCAGGAGGATTCGCGTGGGACCTGTCTTCACTGAACATGGGAGGCAGAAAGACATACTAGAACTAAATGTCCTCCTTGGAGGCGCGCGTCCGACCCGAGCATACAGCATACCCATCTTGTAGTACATCGTTCCCCGAGCGGTGTGGCCAAAAAGCGCCCGCCACGACGCATATACCATCAGATTTCTCGGTGCGCGCGTTGCCACCAGGGGGGCGACGCACGTGTAGTATAGGTATGTGTTGGGTGACACCGAAAACAGTGCGATGTGAGCTCCAGAGGAGGGCAGCTTGACGCTTCGCGCCTTTGACTCAGCCCATCTCGAGCCCCTCGGCGGCTAGAAGGGAGCCGCGGCAGCAGAACACGGAGGGGGCCTCTGCGCGGCCCGCTGGCGTGCCAGAAGGACACGTGGCGTGGAGTCCCACGGACCGGCGTCGGGCGCGCGCTGTCCGCGAGCGGCAGGCCGCCATGATTCTGCGGCGGCCTCGGCAGCGATCTCGTTACCCGACGCGGGGAGCACCTCCTCCTCAGAAAGAGAGGGGTCCGCGGGGTCAGGATGGGAGGGAGACCATGGCACAGCGATCCCACCCAAAGGCCCACGATCCAGAAACGGCCCATGAACGCCCACTAGAATTCGAAACCTCAAGTCAGAATTCGCAGAGCCGTGGCAAGGCAACGGCGACGGCACCAGCCATCGTACAGGGCCCTATTCTCAGTGACGTACTTGACTGATTAGCCACGTTGAGGAGCGCAGACTCAAATGCTAGCAGCTCGGCCCTCGGGACTGCCTGGCCCCTGCCACCCAAGGTGGATATCCAACCTTTCAACTCGGGCCCAAGCCACACCATCACAGGCAACCGAGCCCGAGGCTGCGCCGACTCGCCGTCGCTCAGGGTAGGAGCTGGAGAGCCATCCCAAAACACCCTCGGGAGACCAGAGGGGGGCCCTGTCGGCTGAAACGGTGGCGTCAGCATCAACTGAAGATGGAGGACCCGCCCCCCACAACACGTCCACCCCCCCATCCTCGAAAGCAGGGCACGTGTGGGAACTGGGCGGGGTCCCTCGGAGCCAAAGCCCAAGGTTGGTCTCATGTCCTACGGCAGCCTGGGTACAACCTGAAGCTGACTTGCCGCACGCTGGCTTACCACAATTGGAACTGCACGACCACACGCGGTGGTACAGGGCCCCAGGATCACGCCCAGAACGAGCACGAAGGAGGGCGGCCAGATACCCTACGGCGTGCTGGCGACTGTGGGCCCACCGGGCTCCTGAAACAACTGAAGCAAGCTGACCAATCTGGGCGTGATCGTCCTGCCGTTCGAGTCGGCGGACCTCTTGCCGCAAAGGGCAAAGATTCGCAACCTGGGTCAACTCGTCCCGATTGGGGTGGCTGCCGGCCTGGGATAGACAACGGGGGTCCTCCTCAAGATCACCCATCAGCCAGTGGACCTCAGCATCGCCCTGGAGACGGTCGATGTCGCCGTCATTTTGGACGCCCGACATGGGTACCGAACAATGGGCACTATGCCCAACAACAAATGTTGTCCAAAGCCAACAGCGGCCGCTGTTGGGCAGGCGGCCTTCTGTCTCGGATGGACACAGGCCGCGGCGGCGTGGACAGCGAGCCCTGTTCAAAATGAACAAGATCCGCTGTTGGGCATTGCACCCATTCTTTCAGTACCCATTTCGTGCGTCCAGAGTCATCAGGGAAGGCCAAGACGTCGTGCTCGGTCGGGAGGCCGCGTGCCGGCCCGCGTCCAGCAGCGCGGCGACCACGGCCCCGATCGGGCCGCGGACCCTGCGAACCACGCTGGGAAGCCAGCAGGACTGAGACGGTTGCGGATGACATGCCAGGAGCGCACCGCCCTGGCGTGCAGCTCAGGAAAGCGCTTCGTCCCACGTGTCAAACCAAGCGGGGAGCACCTGGGCCACACGCGGGCAGTGAAGGGCTCGCTGTCCCCACTCAAGAGGGACAGAACAGTGGTCAAGCATCTGCCTGGGGCGCGGATGGCGACGGCCTGTGGAACTTGACGACGGAGGAGGAGGATCGAAGAAGGATAAAACCACATAGCCTGACGGCCGAAAACGGCCTGGGAGAGGGCGCCTTGCAGCCAGAGGCCCTGGGAAACTTTGGAGGCCTGGGCGCGCTTGCGGATTCGTCGAACCCGCCACGCCTTCGAGCAATTCCGAAACCCACCCCCGCAGCCCACCGAGTCGCCCCGAAGCGTTGGACGGCGAAGGGAAGGCTCGGCTCTCGCCGCCGAGTACTGGCCATCGCTCGGGCGTCCCTTCCCCGTGTTTTTTTTATGGGTCTTGTGCGCGGTTTTTTTTGTTCGCCAAAGGAGCAGGGATGCTCCCCGATGGCCCTCCCCGAAGGAAAAAAACACACACGCCCGAGCGATGCCAGGCGAACGCTGCGCCCCCCCGCCCCCCTCGCTCGGACGTCCATTCCCTGTTTTTTCTCCGTTTTGTGCGGGGCTTTTTTGCGCCAAATAACCAGGGATGCTCCCCGATGGCCCTCCCCGAAGGAAAAAATACACACGCCCGAGCGATGCCAGGCGAACGTTGCGCCCCCCCCTCATCGCTCGGACGTCCATTCCCTATGTTTTTTCTCCGTTTTGTGCGTTTTTTTTCGCCAAATGACCAAGGATGCTCCTCGATGGTCCTCCCCGGAGGGAAAAAAAACACACGCCCGAGCGATGCCAGGCGAACGTTGCGCCCCCCCCCCCCTCGCTGGCGCGCGCGCGCCGCGGACGCGCGCCGCGGCGGCCGCCGCGGGGCTCCAGCAGCAGCGGCCGCAGCGGGTGGTGCTCGAGGCGGACGACCTGCGGGCCCCGGCGGGGCGCGGGTCGGAGCCTCGGGCCCCCGCTGGGCGGGAGGGGGGTGCGACCAGAGGTGCCCCGCGCGGGAGACCGCGGAGGAGGGACGGAGCCCCGCATCGTAGGGCAGAACGAGCAGCAGGCTCACGAGACGCCGCAGCACCAACAGCACAGATGATATGACGATAGCAACACACACAATGACAAGAAGCGTGGCCATACCGATGATAACGCTTGTCCTGCTTATGCAAACTAAACCGAGAGAGACAAGGACTGAAATGACTGTGAAAATAATGAGTGATAAAAACTAGTAGTAACACGAAACATATGTGACAAATCATGAGAAGAAGAATAGCCCGGGATGGCGCAAGCCCGTAACCGTTCCGAGCAGGGGATCGACCCCAGAACCGGTTCATCCTCAAGTGAATGAATGCACCTCCCCGCCGAATCTCCGAACCACTGCGCAGAATGCTCCGGAGATCTACGGAGCATTCTCTACGCACTTGTCGTAGAGAGCCGGCGCGGACAACACATTCTGGGGTCCACCTATGCTGCTGCCGATGCCCTGCTCGAACCTTCGGAGGCTCCGAATCTCCGAACCACTGCGCAGGATGCTCCGGAGATCTACGGAGCATTCTCTACGCACTTGTCGTAGAGGAGCCGGCGCGGACAACACATTCTGGGGTCCACCTATGCTGCTGCCGAGCCCCTGCTCGAGCCTTCGGAGGCTCGCGCGGGCCTCCGCGCACGGCCCCGGGGGCGCGCCCCCGCTCCCCGCGGGCGGCGCCGCCGGCGACGCGCGCCCGGCGGGGCGGGCCCCCAGAGGCAAGTGAACGGGCCTCTGGGCCAGCGCGGGTCAGGGCGTGTGTGCAGCGGCGCGTTCCTGGGCCGAGATCGTTAGCCCCGTCGCGACTCGAGCGCCGTTGTGAAAGCTGACGGCTGGATGCATCCGTTCCGACTCGGTCAGCACCACCGCCGGGACCTGCGCATTCGAGTCGGCGGTGATGCACGGACCTCTGCAAGTTTACGGCTATACGCCGACCGTCGTAATGAGAAAGGAAGGGGGGTCACAACCCCCCCAGAGGAGCAGTTTGAGACCACCCCCCCCGCCCTGCCCAGCCATGAGAGGGCGGGCCTTTGGCTCAGACCCCCCGTGGAACCTCCAAGACAGCTCCAAGCAGACCCCAGAAAAAGCCTCACCACCCCTCTTTGATTGCGAAATCCGGAATCTGCCGTTACCTCGCTCCTCTAGGAAGAGGGGGATAGCGACAAAGGGGGCGAGGAAGGCAAGAGGGACCCACGAGGCCCAGCGCCGATCCAAGAGATCCGCGCGGATCTCCGAAAGGCTACACCTCTCAAGCTGCTGCCCTTCGACGCAGGAGGATTCTGCGCAGCCTCTGAGTAACCCCGCCGCCCACGCGGCGAGGCTGCTGCAACGAGGCCCCGAATGGCAGAAGCCACCAAGGCACCGCAGCGAGCCTGCCGAATCCTCCTGCCTTCAAGCCCTGGTGTGTGTGTGTGCGTGTGTGCGTGTGTGCGTGTGTGCGTGTGCGTGTGCGTGTGCGTTGTGTGCGTTGTGTGTGTTGTGTGTGTTGTGTGTGTTGTGTGTGTGCTGTGTGTGTTGTGTGTGCTGTGTGTGTTGTGTGTGTTGTGTGTGTTGTGTGTGTTGTGTGTGTTGTGTGTGTTGTGTGTGTTGTGTGTTGTGTGTTGTGTGTTGTGTGTTGTGTGTTGTGTGCTGTGTGTTGTGTGTTGTGTGTTGTGTGTTGTGTGTTGTGTGTTGTGTGTTGTGTGTTGTGTGTTGTGTGTTGTGTGTTGTGTTGTGTGATGTGTGTT